CAGCATGGGGCAACTGGCAGCCGGTCCGCAAGGGGAACAGGTTTTTAAACTGGCTCCCCTTGCAGACCAGCTCCTGCCTAGCACCCTATGCTGTTGCCTCTGAGACAGAGGCAGCAGTGCAGAGTGGCAGGGGGCTCCTCAGGAATGGGGCTGGAGCACACTGGCTACTGCTCCCACCCCCAGGAACTAGAATAGTCAAGTAAGAGATAAAAATTCATGAGGCTAATTGACTAGTCAATTAACCAATATTTAACATCCCTGCCGGTGATGATCCCTCATCGTCGCCAAGGATGATGACCCTGTGCAGCAGGATGATGTTGATGGCCCTCACCACCAGTAGAATGATGCAGAGAATCACAGGGTTGCCAGAGCTCCCAGGATGTCCCCGAGCCCAAGCCCCCTTCCCAAAATCAGGACCAACTCCAACTTACCCCATTCCCCATCAGAACTTTGTGAAGGTGGGACTGCAAAACCTCCAGGGAGGGACAGTCAACCCCCACCTTCCCTAGGGATCCCCATTCCAGCAGTTCACCACCCTCCTAGGACAATCGTAACACAGTCATAGCTTCATGAGCATGGCCCCGAAGGTTGAGTTCCCCATGATGAACTGGTTCCCGATGGAGCTATAGCTGTCTGGTGTGGTGAGCTTCCAAACAACAATGGCGACCCGCTTCTGGAGGGGGGTTGTGGGTCTCATGTGGGTGTCCCATTACTGGAGGGCTGGGGCAAGCCACTCACACAGCTCCAGGAGCTATAGCTGTCTGGTGTGGTGAGCTTCCAAACAACAATGGCGACCCGCTTCTGGAGGGGGGTTGTGGGTCTCATGTGGGTGTCCCATTACTGGAGGGCTGGGGCAAGCCACTCACACAGCTCCAGGAAGGTGTCCTTCCGCATGTGGAAGTTCTGGAGCCATTGCTGCTTGTCCCACCACTCCATGACAATCTGGTCCCATCGGTTCAAACACTTGTCCTATCTCCAGAAGTGGCAGTGCAGTGTGCAAGGGAGGTTGGGAGGGGTTGTGCTGCATGAGCAGCATGTGGAGTGGGGTGAGGAGGTGCCCCACAGTGAGCTGCATGCAGGTCCTGGGTCTACAGAGCCATGTGGGTAGCCTGTGTTAACTGCACCAGGAGGTGCAGCAGGAGGTCTAAGAGCCGGCAAGTACTGTACTTTGCAGCAAGTCTGGCTCCATGGCAAAAGTGCTGTATGGTGTCCACAAGGGCAACCAGAGCAGGCAGTGAGAAAAGTTTGCTGTCTCTTGAGGAGCGTAGACAATGGAGAGGAGACTGAGACATGGCTGTAGAGGAGAGCTCCTTTAAGTACAAACTTCAGGCAGCAGCTACAGGAAGTGACTGCTGTCCTGATGCCGTGCACAGAGAGCTTCCCGGGGGTTTAAATGCGATTCAGCCTCCAATCAGTGTGGACGTGCTATTTCAACACAGATCTGCGCTATTTCAAAGAGCATTTTAAGTGTGGACATGCTGTTTTGAAATAGCTATTTCAGGAGTTATTATTCCAAAATAGCTTATATCAAAATAAGTGCATAGTGTAAGATATACTGAAGAACAAGGGTTTAAAAAGCCAGTTCCTAAGCATCCAGAGCAAATAGCAAACTGGAGCAGCAAATGGGAGTTTTAAAAGGGAGTATGAGAACCAGGTACACTTAACATTTGCTAAACTCAAGCCAATAGTCCCCACTCTCAACAAACAAAACATAACATAACAAAAAGCTATAAGAGTAACAATAATGCAGGCAGGAGTCCCATAGTTCCTCAGGTTCAGGTTCATTCTGGCCTCACAAACCTATACTTTGTCTATGAACCGTGAGTTGTTTGAATTGAATGTACACACATGAACCCTGCCATAAGGCAGGTAATCATATATGTTCCATTAAATTAAATTAAATAAACTGGATAGCCCCCACTCTGCTGCTGGATTCCTGCCTGCATTATTGTTACTCTTGTAGCTTTCTGTTTTGTATTGTTTGTTGGGCGTGGAAATTATAGTATAGTAACTCCTCACTTAACTTTGTCCCTATTAATTTTGTTTCATTGTTATGCTGCTTATCTTTTACAGCATATCCTCATGTAAAATTGCACAATGCTCCCTTACAACATTGCTTTATTGCCTGCTTTGTCAACTACTTACAGGATTTTCTGAAAAAGCAGCCAGTCTTAGTCGGGGATTGGAAGCAGGGTGGGCTGGCAGCCCCAAAGCAGCTCCCTTATGCTTCCAGTGTGGTAGCCAGGTGTCACTGGTATAGTGTCCTCACAGGTCTTATGCTTCTTCAGTGATAACTGTTTGGCTATGCCTCCTTATGCTTCTCTGTGTGTCGTGACTTTTGCAAATAGCCACCACTGCAGACTCCAAGGCTATGTTTAGACTGCAAGCCTCTTTCAAAAGAGGCATTTTCTAAAGATACTTTTGAAAAAGCCTCTTTCGAAAAAGAGCATCTAGACTACAACCATACTTTTGAAAAAGCAAGCCGCTTTTTCGAAAGAGAGCACCCAGGCAGTCTGGATGTTCTCTTTCGAAAAAGAACAATTTGCATTACATAGTGCCTTTTTTCAAAAGAGCACTTTCAAAAAAAGACATTCTTCCTCGCAAAACAAGGTTTTCCACGGTCGAAAAAACTGCCATGTTCTTTCGATTTACTTTCAAAAGAATGGGGCAGCAGTCTAGACGCAGGGGAAGTTTTTTTAAAAAAAGGCCACTTTTTTTGAAAAAACCCTGTAGTCTAGATACACCCCAAGAGAGCTCCCAAAGACCATAAAATCAGATAAGGCTTGAAGGCACCAGGGCAGATTTATTATTAATGAAACACAGTAATAACTTCCATGGATCATATGTGTACAGGTAGGCTGAGAATTTTTGCCTTTGACAATGGACACGACTCAGTCAGCGACATGGGATGCATCACTGCCCCCTATGCTGGACAAATCTTTGAGGTACACTTTTAAACACCGGTACAAACAAGTTACACATCACTCCTGATATATCAGGTTGTCACCCTCTGACGTTACCTAGACCTACCCATTACCTTATGGCTGTCTACATTGGCACCCTTTTCCGGAAAAGGGATGCTAATGAGACCAGTCGGAATTGCAAATTCCGCGGGGATTTAAATATCCCCCGCGGCATTTGCATGAACATGGCTGCTGCTTTTTTCCGGCTCGGGGCTTTGCGGGAGAAAAGCGCAAGTCTAGACGGGATCTTTCGGAAAATAAAGCCTTTTCCGGAAGATCCCTTATTCCTACTTAAAATCAGGGCACTGGGCCCAGGGCGCTGCTAGCCGAGGCGCCCCGTGATGACGTCATGGCCACTGACGGCCATGCAGGCAGGGGCGCCAATTGCGCCGCCCCGCTTAGGGCGCCAGCTGCTGCAGCCCACCTCGGGCCGCTCCTGATCCTAGTTCATCCACAAATTCAATTCACATGCTAATGGACTCAATCATGATATGGGCTGGTGGGGACTCTACCTATTTAATAACCACTGAAGGTGTTAATGGCTCCCTGAGTGGTATCCTTCCTGTTTTAGGTATCTATCTATTGACTTTTATTTTTAACTGCTTAGGTTTAAGTACCCATTCTCCAGATACTTAATGATGCTCTGTCTCCCACCTCCCTCCCTTTTTCTTTCTCTCCCCTCTCCTATTTATTTTGAGTTTTCATATCCCCAACTCATAACTCCAGTCATGTGAAGAAGTTATGGTAATGCCTGATAAGAAACACTGTGGAGTCTCCACACTTCTAGAGTTCACCAACTTCCACATCATTCCAAGGGATTTAATATTTCATTTCTCATGGCAGACAAAAGTTATGATATGAAAGAAATTAAAATTATGAAATAATATATCATGTCACAATCAGTTGTAAGTCATACTTGAACTTTTATTGGACAGGATGGCAGAGGCGTAGCAAGGGTGTTATGCGCCTGCGGGCAAAGGAAAAATCTGTGCCCCCCCGCCATGCTGAGGGATCCCGAACCTGGCACACAGCTGAGCCCAACCTAGGGAGGAGGAGAGGGGGAACTTGTACCGCGTCTTCCCCCACCCCCTCCAGTTTGGAGCCGGGCCCCCACATGCACTAACCCGCTGGTGGAGATGGAGGAGGGTCAGGCTGGGGGCAGAGAGGCAGGGAGGAGGCTCTAGCCGGCGCCGGCGGGCGGAGGAGGAGCAGGTGAGCCAAGGGATGACAGGGGGAGCAGAGGGGACTAAATTGCATTTAGTGTGGTGCCCGGGGGCAACTGCCCCCCCTCCAGCCCTGTCGCTACGCCACTCCAGGATAGGTACCCTCAGCATGGACGTATGTTAATTTCGCCAGTGAAGGCAACAAAATAACAGTAGTTCAAATGACACCCATCAACAGGAAATGTTTATCAGGCAATGATAAAATATTTACCAGGAAATGTTGGCTAGGCTATACAAAATATTTCCTGACTGTAACTTTTGTATGAAAAAAATGTCATCTTTAGGGCTAGAAATAGCATCTTGCAAAGAATTAGATAACAGGATATTTATAGAATTGTTACTTCTTAGTAAATTTCCCCTCCAGTTACATGTTTCTTGATCTTTGGTCTTTGTATATATTTTGAGGTTCAGTCATTTGTAAAAATTATCTTCGTATTACTTGAGGTTTGCTTTACAAATGTTAAAACCAGAATTTTAAGGAAGTCCTGATTTTTTTCTTCATATTAACCAATTTATTCAACCTGTAAAATCATGAATACAATTAAGTCAATAGTAAAATTCCCACCAAATTTAATGATGCAGGATCAACCTGTTAATGAAATATATATTAGTGAAGAAGTTAAAAATGGATAGTCAGAATAAAGAAAATCACGTGTGGGGAGCATGGGGCCAGCGGGGGATTGCTCGAGTCCCCTGCTGGCCCCGTGTTCCCCACGTGCTCTTGGCTTTTGAAATGTACAAGAGCCCTTTTCATGGCTCTTGTACATTTCAAAAGCAGGAAGTGCAGGGCTTCCACCTTTGAAATGCAGCAAGAGCTGGCAAACCTCTTGCTACATTTCAAAGGAGGAGGTGCCCTTATTGACTAATCAAATAGTCGATGCAAACTGCGTCAATTATTCTATTAGGTGATTGTAAGGCAGAAATGCTGAATGGAGGAATGATCTGAGTAAATTTTAAGGCCTGCCACCTGTAATGGATATAAGTGATGTAATTTATCACTATGTACTCTTGTAAATGTTGTGCAGAATTGTAAATTGCAAGAAAATGTTTGTAAGACCATTAATAAGGGAAAAGCTGTTTAAAATGTAGTTTTCCAAAATGGAGTCCAAAACTCCATTTTGTACCTGGAACTTTCCAGATTTGTCTTTTACAATTGGGTATGGCATAGAATGTGCAGGTAGAATATTTGAGTTCAAAACCTGAGCTACCTGTCAGTTAAATTTGCATAAACATGAATATGCATGAGCATTCCTATTAGCCAACCAATTCAAACCACGCTGGAAAAGCATCCTTGCCATGTCCAATCAGTTTAAAACATCTAGATAATGAATATGCATGAAACCACCCTATATAAGTTTGGACCGAACGTCAGTTCGTGCTGGTTCCCGGACGTAGCTGGGACCTGCAGCATCATGTGTTTCGTCGGGTTAGTAGAACATCCTAGCCTGGGCTCTTTTCAGAAAGAATACCTTAATGGTATTTTCCATATATAGAATCTTTAGTATCTTAATGGTACTAGGTATCCTTGTGGTACCGAACATCTTTATGGTGTTCTAGTCTTCTTCCTTGGGTTACATGACGGAAGGTCATTTTCCTACTTTTAGTTTAGTGTAGTTTAGTTCTTAGAATAGGATAGATCTCCCATGTGTCAGCGACAGGTGCGTCGGTCAACGTAAGGTCGGCCGTCATCGTGTTTGTTCGACGGGTGCGTCGGAGAGTGTAGGGTTTTATTTTAGGATTAGGATAAGTTAGGTACAGGGTCCACCATCGCCGGTTCGAGACGCTACCGAAGAGCGTGAAAAGGGCTGACGAGAGAACGATCCGTGGAAGACGAATCGCCGGTCGTCGTTCCCAATTCCTGCCTTCGTGAAACTATCTTGCCTCAAATCGCCCGACGAGGGATCGCCTGGTTGTTCCTCGCCCGAGGCTCCAAAACAGCCAAAGGCTTGAGGTCACCAGCTTCTGCGGCTCCACTATCGTCGAAGACTCTGGTAATATTCAAGGATTTGAGGGGACTTCCCCTTCTTATCCTTTAGGTTATTGTGGAACGGGGACTGCCCCCGGGTTAATGTTAAATCAAGATATTGTGTTTTAAAATTTTACTTTGTCAAACAATATAGTCCTATTGTTATAAAATTTATACCTGGACTTATGTTTTTTTTATTCATTGCGGTTTTGCACTTTAAACGGTAAATAGATACGGATAGAGGTCCAACCTGTTTTACCATCCCTAGAGGATTGGGAAGTGCCGAGCATTTCTTTGAGCATTGCCCTCTTACACCTTTGGTATCCTTAATCTGTTGGTACTTATTAAAAGTATTCACGTAACAGAGTTTGGCGACCGCGGCAGGACCTCTCTAAAGTGCAATTAATTGGATTTTTACACAATATCTCGAGTTAACAAAGGGTTTCCCTGGGTGAATACTGTTAACGTTGTGGGTTTAGATAGATAAAGGCAGCTAGGAGGGGATAGGTATCCCTGGGCCGTGGATTGGCCACCCATAGTTTGGGGTCCCCAGGAGCCTCCAAACTGCCCAATGTCTTTCTCTTAATCCTGACCGAAGACGGTTCACCCTTATTTCGGTCCCTGCGCCTTTAAGAGGCCTAGCATAGTAAGTTAAAGCCTAGAATTAAGTAGGTTGTCTCAGTTCGAGCTGCTAAGTTCGAACAGAGATAGGTTTAGGTTAGGTTAAATAAGGTCAGTGTCTCGAGATAAGTCTCAGTTCGGACTAGGAGTAGTCCGAGGCAAGCAATTCGAGGCTGACAGTGAGACTCTGTCTAAGGCTTAGTCCTTCTGGGTGGTTCGACTCTGAGGAGTTCGAGCCAGGGATCCGGAACTCTCTGCGCATTTTCAGAGAGCCCCTCTTGGTTACCTGGTCCAAGAGCCCGTTGGTCCTTAAGCCGTAACAGAAGTAGTTCGAATTTGAGAGGTATCAAACCAAGAGGTCTGGACTAGCAAGCCAGAAACCTCATTTTAAACCCCTCATAAAGTTTTCCTTTGAGGGTTCCGAACATTCGCAGTTCCGCCATTTTGGGTTGGCGTAGAACGTTCGGGGTAATTTAAATAGGTTAACGTTTGCATAAGGTGATTTGCATATTGGAACGCTGCCTAGCACGGAACGTTCATTGGCGTTGCTTGGCAACCGCCGCTTCCTGCGTGCAGCACCTTAAAGGAGCAGCGCAGTTTACTGTACAGGGTTCCAAAGAGTACCAAACCCAAACTGCACAGCTATTCTGATAGTTTGAAGGTAAATTCTGTGGGACAGTGAGGCTTGATCAACCTACTGTACCCAATAACCCCAGAATTTATCAGGTTTCATTCAGCTTTGTGAGTTGGTAAGTAGCTCACAGAGTCTAGCCCGACGTGATGGCAACCAAAGTATTCGGACTTGAAGGCTGTCGATTCCCGGAGCAGTCTAATAAATGTTGTCTTGAGTCGGATATTAATGAATATGTAAAGAATGTAAATGTTTGGGATGTTACTGAATTAACTGGTGTTAAAAGCCTAGATAATTTTAAGGTTATGTGGGAAAATTACATAACTAGTAAACCAAAACCCAACAAGAAGACAAAGAAAAGAGCTCTCATTCACAGTCTGGCTGTGATAACCAGATCCCTGAATGAGGAGGTACAAAGCTTAGGAAAACAATTTAAGGATGCTCAAGAAGTAAGGTTGTTACAGGATGCAACCATTGAAAATTTAAAATCTGAATTGGCTAAAAGAGAAAAGAAATATGAATTGATTTGTACGCAAAAGGATGCTTTAACTCGGCAAATGGAAGAAGTCATGGGTAGATGTCAGTATCTAGAGAATGAATTATCCAATAATGCAGTCAAGTTTAATGACTCGAAGGCAACTATCAGACACCTCTTAGATGATAAGAGGCAACAGGTTTCTGTATCGGCGGACCACACCAAATGTCAGGAAAAGATTGTGGAACTGGAACAAAAATTGGGTCTGGCAAGAGGATTTGTCTCTGCCATAAACGAAGGAATAGAGAAGGACATTTATGAAAACACCCTTCTAACCAAACAGTTAGTAGAAGGTATGATGGAACCTATAATTACCACCGAAGTGTTCCACCCTGGAGATCCAACTCCAGTGGTGAAATATGAGAGGAGGATCTTATCACCGGAACAAGCGAGAGCCGTAGGGCAAAATTTGGGACCTTGTAGAAGATCCAATGCGCTTAATTGGATGGCAAAGCTGGCCAGAACCAATTTGACTAGTGATGATATTCTGGTGGTCTTAAGAGAATGCTTACTACCTAAAGATTTCATTGCATTCCCTGCAATAGTGAAATATGAGAGAAGGATCTTATCACCGGAGCAAGTGAGAGCCGTAGGGCAAAATTTGGGACCTTGTAGAAGATCCAATGCGCTTAATTGGATGGCAAAGCTGGCCAGAACCAATTTGACTAGTGATGATATTCTGGTGGTCTTAAGAGAATGCTTACTACCTAAAGATTTCATTGCATTCCCTGCAGACCTTGCCACTACCATCAATCCCTACTTCAACCTGATGTTTAAAGCTATTTATAATGTATTTTACCCGAATGATGATATTCGAGGTACATATTACACAGATAAACAGCTTGAAGAACTATACTTTATCTGAAAGGAATTGTTACAAAGATTGGCAGGCCTAGCTACAGGAACAAATGGGGAAACAGTCCTCGACACTCTTGAATTCAGGAGATGTCTGTTTAAAGGGCTCATTCCATCCATCAAAGCATCATTGAGTGGTCTAGATATCGACAGAGTGTCGTTGGATATTATGAAGAATAGAGTCAGGGAAGTGTTTGAATGGCAAGTGCAAGCCGGATTGATAAAAATTACCATGCCTCACAAGAAGATATCCGAGGTAAAGGATGTGAGAACTCAGGGAATGAGTAAAAGAAGACCACCTCCAGTTCTGAGGAAAGATCAGAGAAATAACACATACAAACAAAATAATGATAAAGAATTTTTACCTTTCCAGCCGACTAAGATGTTCAAAGGTAAAAGAGAAGATCTAATTACCACTAGGCAGATCCTCGCTAATAGACTAGCTAGATACCTCCTATGGCCTAAGGTACGGGAGATGGAGATTGATGAGATATTCATTGAGTTGGCAAGACTGGAGACAAATGTTTCCCCAATGATAT